GGCCGGCTCCAGGGCTGCCCGGGTCGCTGCTGGGAGCGCGGTGGTGGGTCATGGGCTCTGACGGGCTCTGAGCACAGCGGCCCCACCATCCAGGGCCGAGTGTCCGAGCCACCGTCTGTGCTGTTGTTTATTCTGCCGGTGGCACAGCGTTTAGGGCCCGTAGGGATAATTTACACAATGTGTGCCTCCCAGACACATGCCTCCTAGGAGACGAGAGCTCACCCCAAGGTGCCACACGGGGCGAGGCTTGCGCTGAAATGTCCCCGACAGGCAGGCAGAGCGAAGAGCCCTAGCTCCGTCACCTGGGCTCGGAGCAGAGGGCACGGCTCCTGGACAGGCCGTCTGGGAGCAAGGCCATGGGAAGCCGGTGGTCTGGACTGGGCGAGTTCCCCGGGAGGGAGGCTCCACCCACTCTCCCATCCCCACGGGCCTCGTGAGAGCCTGGGTCAGAGCAGAAAGACGAGAGAAGGGTGTTTCCTGCGGGTCTCAGCTGTCACCCCCATTGTGTTCCGGCCTCAGGGAGGGCGAGGCTGGGGCTCGAGGAAGTCCCAAGACGTCCCCGCCGGCCACGTCTACCCCTCACCCACCCCTCAGGAGCGAGCTGAGACCCGGGCTCTGGGGCTCTGGGCACTCACGTGGGTTCCGTCTCTGTGTAGCCGCTAAGTTAACGCGGAATTTAATGGAGGCAAGTTAGAGAGAAGCATTCACAGAATGTATTTGGTCATGGATGTGGATAACCTCCTTTGCGAGGCTGCAGGTCTGGGCGGCAGCACACGTATGTCTGTGCAGCCCCTGCAGGTCGTCACAGGAGTTCAGGTAGCTTCCTGGCTGTGTTCTCCTGGAGACCACCCGGGCCCCAGGGGGCCTGGCGTACCCGGACCCCACCGCGCCGTGCCCCCGCGCACGGCCCCTGGGGCCCATGGGCCTCGTGTTAACGGTCCCTGTGATACCTCCCTCTCGCAGGCCCCAGGGGGACCCTTGGACGGTTTCCCCCCGGGAAGGGGGACGGGCCCCCCTCCCACCTTCCTCCCCACCCCCCACGGCCCGGGGCCC